GATTGTCAGGACCCTAATATATATTGCCTATGTACCAATATAATAATATACACGCTTGTTTTGATCATAAGGCGAATTCATAAATACTACACATGGTAGAGAGATTATATATATATGCGCGTGTAAGCTGATAGGAGTGTGTTTCGATTATAAGTCTGCATAACAGTATACAATTTCAAAGACCAAATACACGATGACAATAACATACCCAATGACCTGAAGGATCATGTGTGTTCATTCAAAGAAAGATTTTCCTATGAATTCATTAGTAGAAAAGTTCATTTCTACTCTGCCTCTTGCCCTGGGACATGCAGGGATTTCCCTGCTTTGCATTCTTTTGGCCAATAAACCCAGTGATATCAGCGTTGGTTGCCATGCAACCAGGGGCCTGTTCGGCTTCCTGGGGTGTTACGCATTTCGGGGGGGAAGGGTTCATGGGTCCTCATATGGCTTGTTAACTGAGGGGGGGTATAGAGTATTTGTTAAATATAAAAACAAAATATATATTGTGTGTTTGATTGGTCCAGACGCTACATAAGTAAATAAAATACACAAATTATTAAAAAAAAAAAAAATTCACCTCAGCAGCTTTTGATTTTCCCATGAAATAACTGTACTGACATGGTCAAGTCTTCACTAGAACAAAGCAAAACTGCATTTGTTACTAATGTATCAAGAGGTGTAAAAGGAAAATGGAAAGCGGTTTTATGTAAATCAGAACCATCTTTAAGTTGAAGTCTGCCATATAAATTTAACTGACAATAGATGATCATGGAATTCTGTAGCATGTGACTCATCAAGATGGACATTGGTGTGCTTCCAACAAAGAGACAAACAGCAGCACATTGAGCTCCTTCAGTATATCCAGATTACCTGGAGGACAATTACAAATAAGGCATTAGTGTTCGCAGTTGCATATACATTAGAAAGGTTTCTCACATACAGAGTTAAATATTACTAAGAAAACCATTTCCTCTACACATCCTAATTTTAAAATTACTTTAAAGAACTGATTTTGTCAAGACAGCAAAGCAGTCCACTGTTCAAAACCAGTTCTCAGTCAAGCTCAACATGAATAGTGACTATTGCTGGAATGAAGTCAGCTTTGGGACTCTGGAATTGTCAGACATCTGTAAAACCAGAGAAAGAGAGTAGTGCAAAAGGACATGGGTTACTAGAACATGTGTAGAGAAGAGCAATAATTGGGGGAGAAAACACCAATGCATGGTCTGCAATCTTGCGGAGTAGACCGTCTCCATGAGTAAGTGCAGCACTGTAAACTCAAAAAGCACACTATATTTGACAAGTAGAGCACTCAAAATGACAAGTGTCACAGTATAAATCCATATTTAAATTTTAAAAAACAAAACCACCACAAAATCACAGAAAACTAAGAAAAAAAAAAACACGATGCATAGTGGAAAGTCTATGTAAACATACTGGTCACAAAACAGACAATAGATCAACCATCCCTAAAAACCCTGTAGTGTGCACACTGCTAACTGGATCTCTGCGATTTAATTCCTCCTAGCACTCAGATTGGGGTGCCCCATTTATCTGATATCTGAGCTCAAGAAAAAGCGCATTTGCCCTTGCACAATGTAGTAAATATTGAAAGGGTGGCAGATAGTCAAATACAAGGAGAACTTAAATGGAAAACTGATCTATTGGAAAGAGCTCCTTTGGGACGGTTTAACCCTAAACAACTCATGTAAACACAATAAGAAAGAACACACACACAGTAATGGGATAAAAATATGAACTACACTTACGGAGAAAAAAAAAAAAAAGTAACATTTCTGCAAACTATTACTCAATTTGCATCAAAACACATTTGCCATCTTTGTTCAGTCACCTGACAATTTGGACAGATTAATTGAACGCATGACAAGCTTTCAAACGCTGTATTAGGCCTGTATCCACAAATGTAACATTCAGAACCAGCACGGTTCAAAATAAAGCTAATATGCAATTACCAATAGTTCAAAGTACAAAATAATTCAGTTCTCCACTAACGATCTCAAAGCAATATTAATATATTAAAAAGGTATTATAAAAATCTCAAAAAAATGAGCAGCTCAAATTCAACTAATTAATTCTAGAAATCTATGGAATAAAGCCTATGCGAGCTTTGTGAGATATGTTTGAAAGTTACTCACCAATTTCCAGTCATAATGAAGCATCTGAAAGACCGCAGAATCACAAAGTGTATGAAAAGCACCAAGTTTACTCAGAATATGGCAGCATCGAGTCTAACCAGAAAGAGCAAAGAAATTAATAAAAACCAGCGATGAAGTCTAAAGAAGCACAAGCATAAAAATATATTTATAAACATACACGTACAAGCACATGCTGAAACTGCAGTTATTTTCCCGAGGCAGTTTTCCCGCCTACAGCAGCGATTGATAGTCAAACTCTATTAATTTTCTATTGGCTGCCTTCGTAAATGCTAATATATTAAAGCACAAAAAGACACAAAAAAAAACACGGGAAAAACTAAACAAAATTAAACAAGATTTCTTAATAGTAAAAACACTTCAGCTCTCCAACGTCCTTCTCAGACGACAAGCTTCAGCTGCTGGCTTTTTATACCCACGAGCACAACCATTGACAAGCAACCAGGAATTAAATAGTCCAATTAACAAGACTTAAGTCATACATGCATTTTGTACCTAACTTAATCAACAAAATTATTATTTCACAGCCATGTAAACATATTTCTTCACTGTGAGACTTTTTGATTTTCAAACAACAAACAATCCCCATCATCCTCCAAATGTGGTTTCTCCCATCTCCCATGATGCACCACAGCACAGATATAAAACTTCCTTCCTGTCACCATCAGGTTTTTCAACTGCCTTCAAACTGATTCAGCAATTCAATCAAAAAAGGCTTTGAATGTCACTAGTGATGGGAAATCGAGGCTTTCTGAACCATTTGAGAATTTCTTGAAA